TAACAACGTCCCTGCATCCAAGAACAGCATCTATTTCATCGTAGAAGACAGTTTTCCATCTGTGTCCACCCGTCTGATGACTGTTCCAATCCTTGGCCTTTTTGTATCTCTCGATGAGATATTTCATTTTCTTCTGGCATTTCTCTCTAGAGTGAGTGGTACCAAACCTTCGATTAATCTCCCGCGCAATTTCTTCCCAAATCTTCCGCGCGTCTTTGCTTTCCACGCTCATGTCGATCAGTCCAAAGGTTTATAAGTGCTTTGTGCTCTTCGTTTGTCCATTTTTCGTACTGCTTTCTATTGGACTGAGCAGCATCTTCCGCTTCCACATCTAGGGCATCGTTCACAGTTCCGTCGGTCGAACCACTCGGGCTATTGCTCGATGTTGTTGTTGGGCTGATGGATCGGCTAGCTGGGTCTCCGACTGCCAAAACACCGCTAGGCCCTGGCAGTTGCAAGTCTGGTCGAACCTGGGGATGGTTGTAGTACCTGAAGTCGACAGGAAAAGATCCGGGCGGATAATAATATGGATATCGTCCTTCCATTCCGAAGCACGTGCGTAATAATAATTACAAGTTCCCGCCGATACAGGTAGGATCAGCCTGTAATGGGTCAAATCGATTAGCGATGACAGCTCCGGAAGCGGCTTCCTTTGTTTTCCTCGATTACGGCGTCTTTGAAGTTTGGTCGGTTTTTCCAATTTTTTCCAAACTGGCGAAAAGCCGGTCGCATTAGGAAACGTGACATGGTGACAGATTTTTAACCTAAAACAAACACAATTTGGAATGAAATTTCACAAGTGCGACCCGGGGCTAACTTATTATATCAGTTGCGTGGCGAGCGTGACACAGAAATTCAAAGATGAATCAACCTCCGAAATACCAAGAGATGGGTTTTTTTTCCTCTTTACATGACATCTAGAAAAACCTTTGAGGAATTACTGCATTCAGAAAACTAAAATGTCCAGATTCATCAATGATTCCTTCGCCGGTTGAAGTCACAGTAAGGTTATAGTAGTCGATTTGATTGATAAGCTACATACTGATTTAGCTAACTGATCTGTTTTATAAGCGTCTTATCTTACATGCTAACATGGAGATTTACTATTTAGTTAAATCGTTCGCTGGTGGAACTTGTGGGTTTAGTTATCGAGAAGACCAAGTCATTCCCTTGCGTGATTGTTAAAAAGACATTTCATGTCACTCTCGGAGTTGCAAGTTTTCAGATCCAGAAAATGAAGTTAATCTTGTTTTGTCGCGTGCCGGCATCTTCGAGACGCCAAAACACATCGATGATTTTACAAATTGCCCCACACACAGATAAAATCTTGGTGTTGGGTGGAATCGTGGTTCCAATAGCAAATATAGGGTTCCAAAAGAAATGTCCGGCCATGGTAAAGGTGGGTTAAGGCGATTCCAAAAGCTGATAGGGGAATTGGCAAGCGTGTATCACAGATAGTACTCAAGATGTCTGGAAAATTCGTACAATCTGGCTTCGGTAAGTAGGCTACTTACCACCGTGAGCAAAATTACGCGTGACGTCAGAGTTAAGTTTCGATTGGGAATTGGTCAATAGGCTACCAAAAATTCAGACAGAGGCGGAGTTTTCTCAACTAATGCCTGAACACTTTGTTGGCTTTCCGCCGTCTGGGGGGACGCGTAATTATGCACACTGCGGTAAAGGGCCCTTCCGCACTAGCAACTAGACGCTGACAAAACATATTTCTCTTCGCCAAAATCACATCAGAATTTGTCCTTGCTAAATGTCAAGTGTGCTACACGTATTAGCACCACCGGGGGACTCCTTTACCTAAGAGGGCGGGGTGTGCGCTTGGAATTTCAAAAACGACCGCTATAAAATTATAAAAGGTGCTTAAGTCTCCTCCGTGTGGCAGTGGCAACAATTAGCCTGTTAAAACAGGTGTTTATGTCCTTTTCTGTCTTTTTCAATGCTTCCCTCGCTCCTACAGAGGATTCATACAAATATGAGAGCCGTGCCGCGTTTACATTGTACAGGTAGAAAAGGTCGTCCAGAATGAGTGTTTCGTTCTGTAATGAAAACCCCAATAAACTCACTCAGAAATGACTCATTTTGAATAAATTTTACGCAGCTTATTATGTGGCAACCGTTACGAACTCGTTCTTGTACAAAACTCAGTCGGATATCATGTAAAAGGCCCCCTAAAAGTTTTTATCCAAGAGCATCGCGCTTTGCTCGCCTGTCTGAATACTAAAAATTTCAGTAGCGTTGAAGCAACAACCCACTTTTAACTGCTTCGCTGCCGCTGAAACAACGATTAGTGAAGAAAGCACATATTTTAATATTTTAAATTCAACGTAAACAAAAATCTTTATACATGGTAAATATTAACTTGTGTCTAGTATCAATTGACTAGCTTATGATATAAATGAGGGAGGGGAAAACACAACGCAAAATCTGAGCTCCTGTCAAAAAGCAATACCCAGGCGTAATATAACAATCGAAACGGCTAATAAAGTCATAAATAAACAAGGTAAGAGTGTTGTTAGACTTTTTTACAAATTGTAATGATTTATGCCAATTAACAGTGGCGACAAGTAGGCGCACCATGTACATTTCATAGTCGCTATCAAGTAAATTTTGTCGGACTTCGAGTTCGTCTCAAGATAGAACAACACAAATACACAAGGAAATTTTTACAGTAACTCTATAACCATCCCTTGGTCTTTTAAAAGCTTTTTTTCTTTAGTTTTAAAGTTGATGTTGTTATTAGCCACAATAATGAGGTTGACAAGTTCTAGATGGTATTCTCTCATGTTTGCAAATAAATGATTTTTATGGAAGGTGGAGTTGTGGCAACATATTAACATGAAACACAGCAATAAATTTTATTGATCTGTAAAAATTTCTCATTTGACCATCTACTGGCAAATACTTGTTATATATTTCACCCTAACCATTTCCCACAACTTGTAGACACCATTACGAAATAACTAGTCATGGAACTGGAAAATTTGCAGCATATCTACCATGTTTGTAATGCCATGTCCAGAATAAGGTAACAAGATTAAGGGGTGTGTATGTGGAAATAGGCTCGGTTGTACGTGTCATTCATTTGCTAATCGCCCCAGTTGCCAAAGTTTGGATGAAGTTAGGCTGTCAGGGCAAAGGTCTGAGGATTTTAGGAGGCCAGCAGATTTGGGAAATATTCACAGGGGAAGAAACTTTCCTAAACCTTGAAACTATCGTTGTACAAAGCCATACTTGTGCTTGGTAACTCATTCTTATTCTGATAAACTAATTTTAGGAAGGATACAATATTTTATTACATTTAATATCACGCAATAAAGACAACCGAATACAGTTCGTGGGCCGTCGATGAGCAGCTACATATATTTTCCATTTGGGAGAAATACAACTGCCAAGGGGGGGGGAGGGTTGGGATTACAAAAACAAAACTACGGAGCGATAGCGTGAACAGAACGAACGATCAAACAAACGCGTGCCGAGATATGAAACGCGATCCTATTTACAATTCACGCTAACTATTAACTTCTATTAACCTATTAATACCACAAAATTGATGCATAGGCTTCGCACAAAACTTTGCCGTGCTTTTTATTCACGCTTGGCGTTATGTGATGATGATCGCCATGACAATTTTTAACAGACGGTCCTTCTTCTGTACTAGTCTTGATTGACAAGAGTCGAGCACGGCGCCGTGTTGACCCAATTTAGTTTATTTACATTTCATGTCGACAAACACGAAATGGCAGTTGGTGACTGAATTAGACGTACCTAAATCAAGACCACCCCATGCACTTTTTCCATGCAGTTTGCATCACACAATTAACAGTTACATCAAAAGAAAATAAATTGAAGATATTTCAACTTTCCTGTTACTTCTGTGCCCAAAATTTCGCTTCTATCACTCCTTGATGACCGCGGCCGCTGTCTTCAGTACACGCGAAGGTCAGTGTCTGTTCACTCATTTCCAATATTATGATAGGGTAAGCAGTAACGAATAAACAGCGAACATCTCGAATTAAGTTAGAAAATCTTCGATTTCTGAAATTGAATTAGTAGAGTATCTGGTCTCCTCAGGGACAGATAAATTCAGTATGGTTGTGTACCGAACATAATACTCCAAAGTTCACCCTATTACTATCTCAGCATTTCTGGATTAGTTTGCAGCCTACATGGCGTAGATCATTCTGACACCTGAGCCCCTCCTGATAGCTGGGGACACGAATATTCATGTAAATGTCCCGAATGATCCCGATGCAATGAAATTCCTAGATCTCCTCGACTCTATAGGATTAGTCCAGCATGCGAAGACGCCCCCTCACCGGCTTGGTCATACACTCGATCTAATCATCACACGGGAGGTCATTACTCTAGTGGAGACTACACCGACTTCAGACTGTTACCTCTCTGACCACTATAAAGTGCTGTGTAACCTGGTGCTGCGTAAGCCAGCGTTTTCAGTAAAGGAAGTATCATACAGGAAAGTGAAAGCTATTGATATCAATGCTTTCAGGAAAGATCTACAGCAATCTGACTTATTGTGTTGTGAGGCACCACGGGAACTGGACGATCTTGTTTCCTGCTATAATTCCATTTGTACTGGTCCGTTGGATAAGTACGCTCCTGTTGTCAAGAAAACCATTACCGAACGGCCACGCGCACCCCGGTTTAATGACACCATCAAGGCAGCGAAGAGAGAACGCCGCCGCAATGTGAGCGCATCTGGAGAGCCAATGGCCTTGAATCAGATAGATTGGCATTTTTTAGAGCGAGAAATCATGTAAATCATGTAATTGAACGGGCAAGGAAAGATTGAAATTCGAAATTCAATGAAATTCGTCATGAAGGAGGGCGGATGTGTGATTCTGAGCTCCCGAGTTATTGGACTTGTACTCCTCTTGTGTCTTGTTCATACCTCGAGGAAAGGTAAACATGACTACTCTTTTACAAATGAGTACTTTGGTCTACGTTTCCCGCACTCTACGTCGGTTAAAGTGGCAAACTGGGATTGGAGACTCTGCATAATAGAAAATACAAAATGGCGGGCACACGTGCATGTCACTATTAGAGTGAAACGAGCAAACGTTACTACAGCCTATTATGCCAATTCAACCGCGACCTTTAGACCTGTTATACAACTGTTACATGATGTTGAACTTAACCCTGGACCAGCAAACAGCTCTATTAGAAACAAGTCTGAAAAGTCAAATGGCAATGTGAAGATTGCACATCTTAACGTTCGCTCGCTTAAATGCCGTGAGCATTTCGTTCTTGTAAAGGAAACGGTACTGGAAAATAAGTTTGACATATTTACCGTATCCGAAACATGGCTCAACAGTTCAGTTACGGATTTGGAAATAGAAATTCCTGGCTATGTTATCTACCGTATCGACCGACAAGCGAAGATTGGCGGTGGAGTATGTGCTTATGTCTCACGAAATTACAGGACGGAGTACTTGAGCGATATATCTCTTATCACGGCCTCTGGCTTTCACCAACTGTGGCTAAAAATTCACGTCAGGAACATGAAGTCTTTCATTGTCTGTACAACCTATAGACCACCGGACGCATCGTTATCTTGTTTCGATTCAGATCTCACAGAGAACTTTATTTATGCCTCGTCGTTCAATGTTCCAATTTATCTATTGGGAGATTTGAACTGCAGACTTGAGAATAGCAACGATCCTGGAGCTAATGTCCTTGTTAATTTCTGCCGTTCCTATAACTTGTCAATACTGATCAACACGCCAACACGAGTTACAGAGACTTCGAAATCAGTTCTAGATGTTATCCTTGCATCGGACACAAGACAAGTTCAAACGGCTACGGTTATGGAAAGCTCGATTAGCGACCATGACTTGGTTTATGTCACCTTAAAATTGAAGAAAGCGCGCGCCAAACCCGTCTATATTACAACCAGAAGTTTTAAACACTGTTGATTTTAGCAACGACGTATCACTGGCACCGTGGTCCATAGTTGATGTTTTCGACGATGTCGAGGACAAACTTTATGCACTCGATTCGCTATTTACTGAGATACTCGACCGCCATGCTCCAATTAAAACCTTCAAAGCACGCTGTAAACCAAATCCATGCGTAACAGACAACATCCGGGGATTGATGAAGACCAGGGATGATTGGCGTAAGAAAGCAAAAGAAAACAAATGATCCGCTATCTTGGACTGCCTACAGATATCTCAGACAGGAAGTAAAGAGGGAAATCAGAATTGCTGAACAGGAATTTGTGGCCCAACAAATCCAGAGGAATCCAAATAACACCAATAATATCTGGAAAGCAATTCGCCAGTGCATCCCCTGCAAATCTACATCTCAGCGAACATACAGTAAGAGCGACAAAGCTGTTGCAGACGAATTTAATCAGTTTTTCGTATCTGTTGGTCAGAGCACTGTTGACAAAATTACGTCCCTGGCTAATGAATGCAACCTAACACTTAATCAGAATTATTTTGTACCGAGACAATACGCTCTCTCTGACCAGTTCACACTGAGTACCATTGATTATAAACAAATAGAACGTATAATAGCAGCGATGCCTTCAAACAAGGCCCCAGGGATAGACAAAATCCCGATTCGTGTCATCAAGGATTGTCTTAATCCAATTGTTCACCCAATAACGTCTATCGTTAATGCATCCTTTCAAAACTGTGTTTTTCCATCAAAATGGAAGACAGCTGTGGTTACACCAATCCCAAAAGAGGGCGACCAGGAACAGGCAAACAATAATAGACCCATCTCACTTACACCAGTCTTATCAAAGGTTTGCGAAAGGGTAGTACATAATCAGCTCACCTCGTATCTGCAATCGAATGACACCCTATCAAAGAGCCAAAGCGGTAACAAGAGATGGCATTCGTGTGAAACGTCTGTGATTGAAACAACTGACACAATTCTTAACGCGATTGACAAAAAGAAGTTAACGGCAGTTGTTCTATTAGATATGAGCAAAGCTTTCGATAGCGTCAATCACGACACGTTAATTTTAAAATTGCAAGATGTCGGAATTTCCAGAGACGCTCTCCAATGGTTTCGTAGTTACCTAAGCAACAGGACACAAGTAGTACGAATCCATTCAACGCTATCTGAGCCTTTGTCCGTGACCAACGGCGTCCCTCAAGGAAGTATCTTAGGCCCACCACTATTTAGCATATATACGAACGATCTTCCATCGATCCCACAGAAATGCAGCACTCAGAGTTATGTAGATGATACGAAACTCATCACTTCCTTCGAACTTAAAGACAACCTGGATGCAATTGCTGATTTGGAAGACGACTTGTTTAAAATAGGAGAATGGTGTTCCAACAACGAATTGTTACTTAACCCTGGCAAAACCAAGCTGATGATATTTGGCAGCAGGCAGATGCGTGCAAAATTGCAATTTCGCTCCCTTTCCATTATGGGTGAGGACATCGTCCCCGCAGACACCGCCAAAGACCTTGGTGTGATTTTGGATTCTAATTTAACTTACGATGAACACATAATTAAGACCGCTTCCTCGTGCATGTCCCGCCTCGGCCAAATAAACCGTGTCAAGCATGTTTTCGACAAACGTACACTTTTGATGATTATTAATTCCTTAGTTTTCAGCAGGTTATTTTATTGTTCCAATGTTTGGTCAAATACCTCAAAATGTAATGTTGACAAGTTACAGGCGGTGCAGAACTTCGCATGCCGCATTGTTAGCGGTGCGCGTAAATTTGACCACGTTACACCAATTCGCAAGGAACTAAATTGGCTTTCAGTTCAAAGCCAGCTTTACTACCGGAACGCTACTATGGCCTTCAGATGCATGACTGGTCAGGCTCCAGATTACCTCTCATCAAAATTCATAAAGCGAGCCGAGGTTAGTCGACGTAGCACCAGAAATTCGCAGCTTTTGCAAATTCCATTCTTTAGAACAGCTAGCGGTCAGAGAACATTTTTCTATAGAACTGTAAACTTATGGAACTCTTTGGATAATTCCTTTAAACTGTGCAACTCCGTTAAGGTTTTTAAAAAACGTTTAAGGACCAAATTACTCAAAGAGTTGTAATTTTATATATTTGTATGCTTTTATTTTTCTTTTAGAACATACAGATTTTAAAACATCTTTAATTGTAAATAGGATTTTTTAATTGTAATAGGATTATTTTTATAACATTGTCTTTGAAAAGCCCCCTTGGGGAAAGTCAATAAAGTATTATGTATGTATGTATGTAAGATTATTACGCGAACTTCATCAATCATGAGAATAATATTGACCAGCGACATCTTTTTAATGCAGTCAACTGCGTCTTTGGGGGATCTCGTGACGAAATCTATCCACCTCAACCAGCTAACGAATCAGGTAATTTTTTTTCGAAAGAGCAGGAACATTCATGGTGAGCTAGATGTAAGTGAGTTAGCCGCTGATTCAGAGGCAGTCAGGGCTACTTCATTTGAAGGAGTACCCTTCTCTGCATTTGAGGCTCTCCCGTTGGGGTCAGTGAGGAAGCTTACTGAGAGTGCACCCACGAAGTCATGTGTAATTAATCCTCTTCCTACCAGTGTTGCTGAGGAGTGTTTGGATGAACTGTCACCCACTATTTCGTCCACTGTAAATCTCTCCCTCGAACAGGGTCATTTCCCTGATGCGTGGAAAGGGGCGCTGGTCAAGTCCAAGCTCAAGAAATCTGGTCTGGAACTTGATGAGAAGAAATATCGACCTGTAAGTAACCTCAAATTCTTGTCAAAGCTTGCAGAGAAAGCAGTTGCCCAAAAAGCAGTCTCTCGTGTTATGGCATGCGGGCTTTTCCCTGTGCTACAATCGGCTTATCGGCGGTTCCACAGCACCGAGACGGCGTCACTTCGTGTTCAAAATGACATCTTACTTAAAATGAACAAACAACATGTATCGTTATTGGCCTTCCTTGACTTGGGCTCTGCATTCGACATGATCGATCACATGGTATTGCTCCGGCGTCTTGAGGATAAGTTTGTATTTTGTAGAACTGCATTGGAGTTCGTACCTGTCGGGCAGATTCCAACAGGCTGTAGTAGGCGGTGCAACTTCTGACAAGTTTGACATCGACTTTGGTGTACCGCAGGGTTCCTGCATCGGTCTATTATTGTTTTCCATTTACGCGAGTCAATTGTTCGACATGATCACTCAACACTTACCCACAGTGCATGACTATGCCGACGACACGAAGCTATATCTGGCTTTTCGACCGGGTAATCGTGCCACTCAATATTGGGCTGTTGCTGCAGTGGAGGCTTGTATACAAGATGTACGGGAGTGGGTGATCAAAGATAGGCTCAAGATCAAAGACGATAAGTCGAAGTTAATTTTTATTGGCACTCAAGGGCAGTTAAAGAAGATGGATATTGACAACTTGGCTGTAGGAGACTCTTGTATATCCCCCAGTACAGACGCAATCAGAAACTTGGGTGCCTGGTTTGATGCCAACTTTACAATGAGTACGCACGTTACAAAAACTTGCAAAGCAGGTTTCTTTTACCTCCATAACATCAGCAGGATAAGAAAATTCTTAGCTTAAGGAATCATGGAGAATTTAATACATGGGTTCGTTACGAGCCGCCTCGACTATTGTAATTCTCTATTGTATGGATTACGTAATGGTCTTATATCTAAAATGCAATGCTTTCAAAATGCTGCCGCAAGACTGGTATATAGAGCGCACAGATATTGTCACATTACCCCTTTGTTAACGGAACTTCATTGGTTAAATGTTAAGCATAGAATTAACTTTAAGATAATCCTTATAGCCTATAAGGCCATTTATGGAACAGCAGCAGAATATATCAAGGGGTCTCTCTCAAACAGAACTCCAAATATGGACTATGATCTAATAACACAATCCTACTAACATCATTAGCTATAAGAACCTTGCCAACTCTTGGTGACCGTGCATTTGCTGCTGCTGCCCCTCGTCTCTGAAACTCCTTGCCAATAGATATAAGAGAGGAGCACAGTCTTAATATTTCCAAGGAAAAGCTCAAGACTCATCTTTTTAGGATCACATCTTTAAATAAGTATTTTACATTTTAAAACTATTACTAACTTTTTATAACTTTTAGCTTATCACATAGTTTTGTATTTATTTGTTTTTAGATATTTTGACTGTAAAACGCATTTTTAAAACGTATGTTGAATTTGCGCTGCTTAAATAAATATATTATTAGTAGCATTATAGTCGCCATGTTGTGACCTCACATGGTTATCAAATCTGATAACCATCCCGAACTGATGGTTTACAAACTGATAAACGTCGGCAGGTCGAATTTAACACTTTTGCCTGAAGCTTTTTAATGTTAACGCAGAATCTGAAAGTGAAATGTTCAGTGAAATCCGGCCGAATCGTGGCTTATAAAAACACCCAAGCTTTTTCACATGACAATTAGAAAACAAACGGTTCAAAGCGTGTGTTTCTGACTGAACGACAGCCGAATCACAGGAACATGAAGGTTGCTCGAGGTGACAGCGCTCTAATGAATGGATATTGTAGAGATTGGCAAATGGCGTGACAGCATTAGCTCAGCTCCGTTTTTTTTTACGTTATATCACAACTTTATTGTAAAATATTTTATAACATTCCTCTGCAGAAACTCTTATTGAGAGACCAGCTGAACCAGTTCCTTGGTACTGGTATATCGTACACGAAAGTACAGAAGGAAGAGGGGTGAGTTACTTGATTTTAGTAGCCCATGTCATAAAAACCTCTCTTCCGTGTACTATTAAACATCAACTTTATCACTATTAGGCACATGTATACATGTTTTGTAACAGTAATTCCCACTTATCAAGGAAATCAAGGTAGTAGTTAAAAAAACTGGCAAAGGAAGCAAGCCATGGGCGTTTGAAATCCAAGTTAATGTGGGTAGGAAGATCTTTAGGGAGAAAACATAAGCCCAGAGAGACTAGCGCATACACAGTTCATGAACAGTAAGTGATCTAAAACTTTTGCATCTCAAGTCTCTTCGTTACTCAAACCAAGGATAATTTCCCACGATTTGGTCCAGGCATGTACTGTATTCTTGTTAAGATAAGGCATATCTTATGTGGTAAATATTGCATGAACAAGCACATTCGCTGCATTTGAAGTAGATTGGATTATTGTAGAATTCTTGATTTGCGTTGAAAACAGTGAAAGTATATTATTAGATAATTAGATTTTGTTATTCTAGAATTACTGATGTTGAACACAGTTAAAGTATTAGCCCATCTCATAATGCTCCATAGTTGCCTAGTATACGTGCAAATATTCCTAGTAAAGCGTACCTTCAGTACATGCATGTTTTGTATAGACCATCTCTTTTGGAGTAAACATTTTACTACTTCATGATTGATCAAAAAATTTTTTTTATTCTCTTGCAGTGGACACATCCTTCAAATGTATCGCCATATTACTCAGTCTGTGATGCTTCTAACAAATATGAGGTACCAGAGAACTGGTTAATAACAGACTTTATTAACATCAAGGATGCTACACGACTCGATATTGAAGTGACCTATACCTTCCTCAACTGCCCCTTAGCTGACGTGGGGCCATTCTGCAGAACAAACTTCTCCCTGTATTCTTATCATACTGATTTCAAATATAATCCAGACCCAAAAAAACTAAATTTCCTCAAAGAAACTGTGATAACTCCAAAAATTCTTCCTATGCCTGGGGAGCGCACAACAGACACATTTGATGGGTCAATAATAACAAAAGCGAAGGGAATTTATTTAGCATTATTAGACCAAGGAACCTGCTTGACAATAAGAAGGTTTGTTTTAAGATATCGTTTCTGCTCTGAAACGGTCCCTTCCAAGTTGGTTAGATTTCCAAGAACACTTGCCCCAGCAAATGATATCAATCTAACCAAACAAGAAGGAGAATGTACAGATCCTAACGCGATTAAGAAAAACAACAAAACGTTATTTGGCGTGTGCCTTAGTAATGGGGAGTGGAACATAACAGATAACTCAGCCTGCCTTTGCAGTAATGGTTATGAGTTGACGCATGGATCTTCAGACTCTTTCACATGCAAAGGTTAGTGGTGCACTTAAAACCTGGCTTTGCCTTAGAAGCTTTAAGTCCAAAGTAAATATTTAATCATTTAAATGGTTAAATATCTAAATTACAACCCCCGTTTGTTCATATTTGATAGGAAGCTTATTAAAGGTTCGATGCATAACTTTCATGAAATTGGACTGTGTAGCCATACTTCGTATGTTCACATAAGTCAATCGGTGGACGTAGATAATTGGCCGAGGATGTATGACCCGAAAGCGCAGACCTAAGAACAAAGAACCCCTTTTGGCTAAGTACCTTTTCGTTTTGCTTCGTCTTCGTATTTTTCGCAGATGGATGTATTTATCTATTGGCCCGTTACGTTCAAATTCTCTGATCACAAATCGTCACCGAATCGATTTATTTTTAGAGCAGACACGTTAAATTTCGACATGGTCTACGAAGAAAAATACAAATCGTCGAATTCATAAAAAATACAGATCTTCTAATTCTTAAACCCTGCCCCTCCAATTTGTTACTTTGTATTGGCTTATTCTTCATTTCTTTTTTTTAGATATGCAAGAGTAAGAGTATTTTAGGGTCTTTCAGGTCTTAGAGATTTAGGTCTGAGAACCGCAGGTTAGGGGTTACATCAAAAAAAAAACCTGAATGATTAACGAATAGGGAAGCTTTGACTGTGCTCTGTCCTGTTGTTAAGCACGCAGGAGGCGGCTGAAGCACGAAAGAAGTGTGGGGAGAAACGTACCTAGACGGGTGTTTCTCCCCACTTCTTGAGTGCGCTAAGCGCCTCCTAAGTGCTTTACAACAGAACAGAGCACAGTCAAAGCTTCTCTATTTGTCTTATAATAAAGAATCCGTTAAATTCCCTACGCATTACTTTCAATTTTCAAAACAAACTTTCTTTCCGTCAGCGTGCTCTATACTCTCATAAAGTACGCTACAATAAGCCGATCAAAATCTCTGTTAGAATGGTTCAAATAATCTGATTGGCTATACAAGACTAAAGCTGTCATAAGTGTCAAACTACCAACGTTCAAAAACCATCAAAGTTCACATTCTGCGATAGTTTACAAACTGAAACAGTTGGGCTGGTCGAATTTAACACTTTTGCCTGAAGTTTTTAAGTCTCTAATACAGAATCTTAAAGTGAAATGTTCAGTGAATTTCAGCCAAATTAAGGCTCATAAAAACACGCGAGGTTTTTCACATGACAAGGTAGAAAATAAACTGTTGAAGGCGAGTGTTTTACGGATGAACGACAGCCGAATTCACCGGAACATGAAGATCGCTTGGGATGACAGCGCCGCAAAACTCGGCCCAATGACTGATGTGACTTTCCACTCAACGCATTTGAAAGGATATCAGAGCAAGCTCTTATTTTTTCTATGCGGCCTATGTAGTTTCTGAGGCTTGCTTCACTGCGATGACCGGAGATCACCATGATGAGCGAGCCGCGATGGACCTCACCATGATCATATTCGCTCTGACACTGTCATGATTAGTATGAATTTAAACAGTTATGCCAGTTTGGTTATATTTTTCATAATTTCTGTTTTTTTCTGTTTTGTTTTTGAACACAAAACTTTATATACTACACGAGTGTTAGCTGTGTTTGATATTTATTACCGTACGTAAGCTTGCAATCTAACTGGGCGTGAAAATCTTTAAAACTCGGACTGTTTATTTTGTTTTTCCTTTGAGGGTTTTCGTCTCTGCCTACGTTTTAATAACGTGAATTACGGCACCTTGCATGTTTTCAAATCTTTGTTTGGTTCTTCTGTGGCTACATGCCGGCTCGCTTGTTCCGAAATTTCACTTTAGTCCACAAACTATCGAAGTTCACAATCTGCAATAATTTACAATTGACATAGTTCGGCAGGTCGAATTGAACACGTTTGCCTAAAGTTTTTCTAGTCTCTAATACAGAATCTGGAAGTGAAATGTTCACTGAAATCCGGCCGAATTGTGGCTCATAAAAACAAGTGCAAGGCGTGTGTTTTATGAATGAAAAACAGCCGAACTCACAAGAACATAGAGATTTATTGGGATGACAGTGCCGTAACACTTGCCTGCTGTGAGTGATGTGGCCTTCCACTCAAACCATCGGAAAGGATATCAGAGCAAGCTCTTAGTTGTTCACTCAAAGTGCGGCCGAGCGTGAAAACCTTAAAAACTCGGATTGTCCATATTGTTTTCTCTTTGAGGATTTTCGTCTCTGCTCACGTTATCATAATGTAAATTACGGTGCTCGGCATGTTTTTAATCTTTATTTAGTTCTCCTGTTGTTATTTGCCGGCTCGTTTGTTCCGAGATTTCACTTTCATTTAACGCAAAAAGCTCTCAGTCAGGAGTGCTGCTAGTTGTAACTGGCATTTAGCAGTTACGGAGAAAAGTTTTGGTATAGCCATTTGCCTTTAGGACATTAGAAACATATTTTCTCTCCTCAGCCTTCGAATCGAGTGGAGATGGTAGACAGTGTGAACTGTGAACTGAGAGTCATTAGGAGTGAAGACAAAAAGAGTCGTCTTAGTAACCAAGCCTCTGGCGATGAATAGTGCCAAGGTTATCATATTGGCCGTGTTCAATTTCGCGTTATCGTGGACCGAGTATTGACTCCCTTCAGCCGCGTTTTACGACTTCATCGCCAACATTGTTCAAGAATATCTGCTTCACGCACTTCCTTTTCTTGTGCTGAAGCAAAAAAAGCGGTTAATCCTGAGCCCCTTCGGGTAGCTAATGAGAAAACGGGATTCGCTTTTTATTGCCCACGGGCTCTGCCAGCGACATAATAACTGTTATTATGATAAACTAACCTATATGTATCATGCGTGTAAATGCCAGAAAGAAATTAACTAACCAAAAGACCTCTCTTGTCAGGAAATTATGAAAATTATGTAAAAGCTTATTGAAAACTGAAATGGCATGCTACTCTTGATACCAATTCCAACATACTGAGACCATAATCACTTGAAACTTTTAATGGATAACCTGTTAGATTTTCGAACCACTTCGTGAAAGCGGTCACCCCTTGGTCCCTGTTTACATTTTAGATAATGGTATTTGCTTATATGCTGGAAAGAAATATTTATCATGATATGCAAAGAAGTTATCAAAATATCAACAAGTCTACGTTCATTTGTCTATCATTGTAATTGTAATGTTTTTTACCTTACATCCAGTCGTTCCAGTAATTAACATAACCATGGTCTTTACCAATGAAGGTTGTACTAATGGAAAATTCAACCAATCCTCATTAGTGACGAGGCTAAAAAAAGAGGTAACCATTTTTTTGTTTTATCTAGCTATTCATATCTAAATTACTAATATTTCTGCAGTTGCGGTATATTACATGCAAATCCATGCAATTGCAATTATAGCTTCGGTTGTTTTTCAATTACAGTTAACCACAATTGAAAAAGAAACTTATTTGAATAAACTTAAACATTCCGAGTGAGTCTGTGCGGTGCTTTCGGATGCATGCTCTGATGTGGTGTTTGAAAGACGTTATTAATTACAAATTAAAAATAAATCATCATTTTTATTCTGTAAACATTGATATGTTTACCTGATTGTGTGGTGATCTTTAAAGGTGCTTTTCGATTTCATGTTCAGTTTGCTGTTGTTTCCATCAACAGATGGAAGAGGCTTTTCCTGGGAGATTTGCAGGTCTCAGAAGTGTGCAGTTGAAAAGTGGCATTAGGTTTGTAAACTGCCTGGATTAGCAAATGAATTATAATTTACTGGATTCTAAGGTGCTCTTCTTTATTTTAGCCCTCATATTTTCTCTTAATTAAGGTGTGGAAGAACAACTGTTAACCTAGCACTTAAATTTAATTCCAAAACAAAAGAGCAAGATGTTATTGCAGTACTTCGTAATGCTGCCAAAGATGGAAAGCTTGGAGGCTTCAATGTGAGTGCAACAAAAAGGACAAGATCGCAAGCTGATTTCGACACTGGAACTACAGAAGCAGGCACAGTAACGCTAACTGCTGACAGTAAGTTTTAAGTCTTTTGATACATACACTGTAGTTGATTAGTAGCAAGATTTCACAGGATTGTTTATCCCTCATATGTTCTTCAGTGAAGTGGTTAATTGGAGTGGGATTTAATTACGAGTATATTCAGCATTTGGAACATTCTTCCTATGTAAATGGTATCCACGTTAGCGTACTTTGTTGTATTGATTTGTTAAAACATCATACGTATGTAGTCTAGTGTCTCATTCTGCATGACACCGCAAAAGATAAGGGCTGTAGGGTGATAGGATAGGTGAAGTATGAAATAACAAACAAACGGAACAATGGCGCAAACAATAACTTGCAAGGCCTTTCTTTCTTAACTCCACCAGCTAATGAGCTAGGGCACAAGATCTCATCCAATAAAAAATCAACTCGTGTATTTTTCAGTGGTACTTTTACATATCTTTGATATTTTTTGCTACCGCAAGCAAATGTCGCGAGAACGATAAGCCTTCTGCCCGATGTGGTTAGCATTGATTCCTGCTTGTCTCGGTTCTTTATTCAGACCCTTACATGAATTTTGTAAAGTAATGAATCGTTGCTCTTATTTTGGCAGAATACAAAAAAAAAACATATATCACAAGAGCAACAAACTAGGAAAGAAAGCAAAGCATTTGAAATCAGGATCCAACATTCATTTACTTTATTTTTAGTTCTCACAAAAAATTCGGCACTGATATGATTGAGAAATGATTGAGAAGGTGCTCGTACGTACACGTATGTACTGCATACAGACTTCTTCAATAATTATAAAGTAACCACGAAAAGTAATGAAAAATGCTCCCATCGACTGTAGTTCAGTGTAAACCTAAGAAATTTCATTTTGCTGGCTCGTAATTCTAATTATTTTTGAAACATCATAAAGAATAAGTAAGGGAAGGGTACTGGTGGAATAACTGTAATCTAGTTCTCATACTTAGTTGGACTTCTTCCTGTAGGTATCAACATTACATTTTATTAGGCTTTTAAGTAATTTTACGCGAATTAGATAAAAACTTGTATGCGTAGAGAAAGGCATCAAGACTAAACTGGCTAAGTGGAGAATTGCAAACATATTGTTTGTGGAGGCATATATTCATATGTTGTTTTTCTTGTGTTTTCAAGGTGCCCTGGGGATTACTGTTGGTGTCGTGGTTGGATCAATTGCAGCACTGGCGGTTGCTTCAGGAATATTCGTCTTTTTCGTAAGGAACTTAAGAAAGCGCAACAGCAAGAACTCAAATGGTAAGAGTAGTATTTTAAAATGCCTGCTTTGGAACATAAGAAAAATTGCGTGGTATCAGGCAACTAAGAAGTTTGTGTTGTTTGTAGCCTCATTTAAAAACAAGGCAAGTTTGAAGATTTCGAAACAGTTCTAACAAATCCCTGTTTGTAAGAGGTAAAAAGATGTGTTTGTCTAACTTCGTAATAAAAGATGTAACGAAATTATTAGATCGATTACAAACTTATTAAATTTAGAAAAACTGAAATTCCTGCGCAGTAAAAGAACATTGAGGAAAAAAAACAACTCAATACTACTGCGGAAAACACTGAAAACAAGAGTACGTAAAAGTGTCCGCGTCAATTTTCATTGTCAGGGTCTAAGTCTGTGGAAGCTGGATTGGCTGATATTGTGAAATCACGCGGACCGAACGTGAATACCAAAAGATATGATTTGAGATTCACAAACTAAAAAAAAAAAAATTCAACGACAGTAACGTGGTAGGCAAACCCGAGTCTTAAAGCCTCTGAGTGTTTGGGTGAGGTTAGGTGAACACGGCAGATCTCCTGTATGATCTGTTGCGTTCATGAAATACAGACATATCCAAATATTCACGACCGTGATTATATGCCCTCATTTGATCGAGTCTCTATCATTTTAATAATTCAATTATAGCCCTAAACTTAATGACCGCTTTCTGCTTAAATTGTCCATGTATAAAATGAGATAAATGTCAGAAGACATCATTCTGCATTTCCTTTGTACTATTTTATTACTTTCTCTTTACATACTTTTCGAGCTGGTTTTTCATGTTTTTCATACTTTTTTTTCTGTTTTTTTTTCTGTTTTGGAATCAGGAAAAAGAGAAAGGTGAGATTTCTAGAACGATGAATTATCGTCGAATTTCATGTTTTGTTGCAAACTGTGTACAACTGTGAACTTGCCTAATGTTAGCATGGATTATGATAATTATGCTCAGAGCAAGAGTGTCATCTAAAGTCAGTTTCACAAAGCATCCTTAACGTGATGACTTTAAAACTGCTCACGAGTGTGGGTTATCCAGACATAATTATCTTTTCTTAGAGTTTGTCCATCAAAGGAAAGGCGCAGATGCCTAGCTCCTAATGTTTATGATACCTTTTTTGCGCCAAGACAGTAGCGCAAAATGTGACATGCTGTAGCTAATCATTTCATAACTAATACTCATGGAGTACGCAGAGGTGTGCTTTCCAGCCGAAAAAATTGTCAACGTGTTTCATCCGATAGAATTTGGATTAGAGAGAAAATATGATATTTTCTTTAACTTTTAGGAAAAACAGAAAAACAACTGAAGAAATAGGACAAGTCGTTGTAAGTCGCTTGAAGATTTTAACTTTTAACCTTTTTCTGGTAGAATACAGTATATCGTTGTTTTTTCCAAGAGGGCACGGTAACGAATCCTTCAATCTGATTGGTTCTTAGCGCAGTCCGGATTTTCCTACCCCTGTCAATGGGCATAGTAACCCTTTTATGGATCGCAGAGTGCATTCCTAGTTTCGTTGCAAATTTTTTCACAAATATACGTTGCCTCACCGGCTAGGCAGCATTTTCAAGCGCAGACTTCGGTCACGATCTCAAGCCGTAAGTTGATTAATTATAATTTGCTCGCTCTTTCTCAAATCAATTTGGTTGCTTGGATTACTGTTCTGAAGTTTGCATAGAAGTCTTTTAAATCACCGTTATCATAACGCAAATAAAAATGTTTCGGGGAAGCCTAAATCTTTCATTTGTTTTCTCTACTTTCTACTCGCTAAAAAATTATTCAATTTATGGAGGATCTTGCCTTAATTACAGGCACCCATAGGTTTAAGAACAAAATTATTTAAAGCCTTGTTCGGTCCGTATTGGGAAAACCTGTACCCTCTGCCTTTTTTTCCCGAAACGGATTGTCTAAGGCTGGTGAATAACATGTATGTACTTTGACAGATATTGGTGATCTAAGTTTATATCATTCTGTCTCAATTGCGAAATTACTTTGCAAAAGCACTTTTAATAACACCACTGGAGCTTCATTCTCTTTTAAGCGCGATACGTTTTATGTCTTTGGATAAAAACTGTACAGTGTTGACAATGTCGTTTGCATTTGATGAAATTATTTATAACCAGCGACGGTTTGTCTTTTAGTCTTCAGTTATTCCTTGTTCACATCTGCACCACCCTCGCTCTGCGAAGCCATAATGGCATAAATATTCTTTTAAGATGCCTCTAAGGTACATTGCACAACTGATGGCAGAGACGAAGCTCAACACCCCGCAAATCTGAACAATCATTAGTGTAATCTGTAGGAAACAGACGAATAAAAATTAAAGTTTAGTACGTGCAAGCACCTTTTCTCTATTTTTTAAATTTTCAACTGGCGCACTTTCAGTAATAACTCCAAAGAATGGAAAATAGTGTCATAAGTAGTTATGAAATTCCGCTGGGAAAAAGCTGAAAAAAAATTAAAAATTTGATACGAGCTAGCATATATTCTTTTTTTTATTGTTAACTCTGCACGCCTCTTAGTAATAGCTTCTATAAAAAAGGGAAGAAAGTGTCTTAAGTGGTTATAAATTTCCGGATCATACGCTAAAAGAAAGTGGAATTATAGTTATAATGTTATGCAACATTTTCGCATGAAAACTGTATACAAGAACAACGAAATGTTGTAGCTGTAGCTCTAGTTAATGATTGCGTTTATTTTTTCAAACTCAAAAGACTGGACTTGAAATGGCGGAAGCTTCTCAAAGCCAGAAGTGCTTGGCATTGGATGAGCGGAATCGGTCACCTTCCATGACAGATTCAGGGTTGGCGAACTGTTCACAACCAGGCCAGTCCGTCACTGAAAACACCTCTCTATATCCATCACCACGTTTTTCGAAGATTCCTTCAGAGCTCGTGACTATAGAAAAAGTCTTTGGTCAAACTCAAAAGACTGGACTTGAAATAGCGGAAGCTTCTCAAAGCCAGTATATGGCATTGGATGAGCGGAATCGGTCACCTTCCATGACAGATGCAGGGCGGGCGACCTGTCCACAACCGGGCCAGTCTGGCACTGAATACGCCTCCCTATTTTCATCACCACGCTGTTGGGAGATTCCCGCAGAGCTTGTGACGATAGAAAAGGTCGTTGGTGAAGGGGCTTTTAGTCAGGTTGCCAGGGCAACAGTCATAGGCCTCAGGGAAGACCAAAGAAGACGCTTGTGGTTGTTAAGATGTTGAAAGGTATCAAGTACTTCAAATAATTAGATGTGTTTCAGTGAAATTTCGAAGTTAACACTCCCCTCGAAAGAAGTAACCTCAAGCAGGTAGCATCAAAAAAATTCCGCCTTCTTCTCGATCCTGACGGTAGCAAAGCAAGCCCAGTCTCTCTCCCTAAATATGGAGGGGAAGGTTCGTTTAGTAGTATATCTATTCTTCAATCAGTATTCAACTAAACGTGACCTCAGTTAATAGATCAGGGTCGTGAGACAATTTGAAACCAGGTATTAACCATGAATGAGTTGACCAGTCCTCTGTACTCGAAACACGACAAGCGTCTCACGTGGCCTCAACATGAAACTTGAACGTTCGTTGTCAGCTGGTTCAGCACCCTCTGATATCAGAAGTCGCAAAATTTTCCTCCAAGTTAATCGGAAGAACTACTTTTTTTCCGCAAGAACTTATCGACACAAACGTTTTTAAGTAAAAAAGTAAATTATTGTCAACAATCAACTCTCCTCCCTCCCTCTATTCAAAGGTAGCAAACCTCAAAAACTGCTTTTTCCGAATTCAAATTGACATAAGGGTCGTCCCTTTCGACATGAAACGTCAGTGGGAAAAGAAAAATCCATGTTTCTGCTGAGAGTATGCCACTTAGCAATTGCTTTGCAGAAGTCTTATTTTAATTAAATTAAGTATCGTTAAAGCATGGTCATACTGGTACAGCAGTGGAATGAAGGGTTTTGTCATTGTATATGTCGACTGAGAACTGTGTTTAAAATTATATTTACTTGTAGAGTGTAAACGAAGTGTTATGGTCTCAGTTAGGTCGGTCTCATTGAGCTTTACACGTGAGCCCCAAAGATAAACTTGTTTAAGATATTTCATAACATTATGACTATTTCACGACCTTATGATTTTGAATAAGATGTTCAATCACCAAGCAAAACAGAGCTCAGAGTCAGAAGGGAAATTTGCAACTTAATTCGATTCAGCAAGAGAACGTCAACTGACATCCTCTTGAGTTCAGCTACTGCTGTTGTTTGTAAAGGTAACAGCTGTTGGGTGATCGTCTTGCAGATGACGCTTCTGAGTCGGACAGGAAGGACTTGATGTCCGAACTTCGATTGATGAAGAAACTCGATGCTCATCCTCATGTCACTGAACTTCTGGGATGTGTCACGAAATCTGGTATATGTGGAAAAATATACTTTAAAAGCCCAAACAATTATTTTCATCATTTTCCAGCAGATCTCTTGCATAGTATAAACATATTTCATGTTTCTCATGCTCCACAGAGCCATTGATGGCGTTGATTGAATACATTCCCTATGGAGATTTATTGGGATACCTCAGAAAGAGCCGTGGATTGAATGATACTTACTTCGAAGACCCGGATATCAAACCACAAACAAATCTGACGTCAGAGCAGCTTATGAAGTTTGCGTGGCAAGTTGCCGATGGAATGTCGTATTTGTCATCGATACCAGTAAGCAGGAACGTTATCTACTTACTGAAATGTTACTTTGACACATGTTGCTGAAATCGGACATTGGTCCCGACTTTTTTCTTTTCATTAAATTCGTCTGGATCCCCTTAATTCGTTTCAACATTAAAGATTTGATTTTATTTGTCGTAGATTATCCATCGAGACCTTGCAGCTCGTAATGTGTTCGTTGTTGGGGGGAAACGTGTAAAGTGACAGACTTTGGTATGGCCAGAGATGTCCTAGATGATAACATTTATCAAATGAGGTCAAAGGTACTTAACTATTTTGAGCCAAAAGTTGGTGTCGAAATTAGCTAGGGAGAGTGTTTGTCTGTATTTTTAGATTTTCAGTTAATCACTGGCTCTGTTTGCTGTTCTCCAACATATCATATTACCGCTAGAATTTGTCAACCAAGGTAGGGATGTGTGATCAGTCTACTACACGCAAAGTTATGACTTTCATTCTTGCTCTTTTCTGCACTTTTGCCGATCAATTCAATGCTTTTCATCAAGGGACGTATCCCTCTGAAGTGGACAGCTTTTGAGGCGCTGCTTTACGGGAAATATTCTACCAAAAGTGACGTGTGAGTACAAGGACCACATTAACGTTATTTTTTAAGTTTAATGGGAATAGCCTCTGGGAAAAATTAATGGCTTTCTTCCGTAAGTACCGGCCCGGGATCAGCTCATATGAGTGCGCTTCCCACAACGGCTTACAGAAGATGTTAAAATTGTTTCCAAAGACAAGAACGATTATTTCTCTAAATTTATGCCGTTTGTTCTACAGGTGGAGCTACGGAGTTCTCCTCTATGAGATTTTCACGATTGGTAAGTTAAAGAACTGATGGACAGACCACTAATTTTAGCCTTAAAACTCGTGTTGACCCGCCAAGAAGTCGGTAGGCTCAGCTGGGAAAAAGATGAGCAATGGTGCAGGATGTTTAATGTAAAGCTATATTTACAAATGTTGGAACATTTTTGTAAGGTGTATTTTGAGTAGCTTCTCTATTTCAGGTGGCTCGCCGTATCCAAAGATGGATGGAGGACAAATTTTAACATCGCTAGAAGCGGGATATAGAATGCCTAGACCACAATACGTGGATGATAAGTTGTATGAAAAAAGTTTGTCCTTGTTGTTGCTTCTCTTACGACACCTTTTCTCTTAAAATAGTTTTTTGAAATTAGGGTCTTGAGAATTTTTGGCTGTAGTCAAAATTTAACTGGCTTTACTTGTTGAGCCAGTCTACCAACGGGAAATGTTGGAATGATACGAGTTTGTATCTTGTGATTAGTAATGGTAAAGGGACCGTGTGGATTCGAATCGGTCTGTATTCTTGCGTGTGATAGCGGGAGTCCAGTTCCTCTACTACGGATATGATTACAGACCGAATTGGACGACACGAAGTCTTATTATCAGTTGATCATAAAAATTACAATTTCTGAATTAAAAAACTGACAAAGGAGGCGTGAATTGTTTAATGTCGCTCCGAAATTGTCTACAATTCAAACATAAACATTCGCCATTTGGGAGAAAGCCCAAATTTAGGAGTCTGTACATTGTTTCTATGGTGATTGAAACCAAGTTTGTGATTGGTTGATTTTAAAATACAACTTTGAATGTCTGATGAATGTTTTAAGATAACATAATTGCTGATAACTACTTTGCAAATGAATAAATGGAAAATAGGAGTTTATAAAACCAATCACAATAAAGGAAATTGCAATTTTTGTGATTAGTAAGAAAAGGACCAAATGGTCCTACTATACCTTTATGGAAAAATCACAACATTTTAGGCCTAATAACGCCCTTACTGATGCCACCAATAAGATGCTGAGATATTCTTGACGTTATTGTTAGGTATGACTTAATGACAAACTGTTGGAAACACGACCCTAACTTGAGACCATCTTTTGAGGATATGAGGAACACACTGAAAGAAATGGAAGACCACCATAAGGTAGAGTTGTAGATTTTTCAAAGGGAATTTCTAAACTTTGATCGTAGTTTGCTCTCGCACATACAAGATACACATTAAGAGTATCGTTAACCTCTAGTTGGCAAATCTTGTGTATTGCCACAGTTCTTTAGAAAATTACAGGAGTTTGGAAGCTACTTTAACTAAATTCTGAGGTAAAAATGACAAATCAGAATTCCATCGATTGTTCTTACATTAGTTCTAAAGTTGTTTTGAAGACACGGAAATGGGATTGATTGTGCATTTCATGAAATTCTCTGAGTCCATCGGCGAAAACCTAACGTAAATACGAAGTCGTATTCAGGTAGTACAAGTGTGCTCCTTTGAACGTTCAGTTCACCTATTTTTAAATATGATTTCACCATTAATATACTCTTTTGGGAGGAAAAAAAGAAAAAGCTTTATTGCAAGCTTAAGAGAGTATGCAACACTCTAAACACTTGACTGTTTTTTTCTTTTTTTTTCAGGGCCTGATAAATTTAGAAAATTACGATGATCGACTCTATGTTAATGTTGACGATCTTGCCGAGTAAGCGATTGCATCCTCATGGAGCACAGGATGGATTGATAAATCTGAGATTTTATGCTTTTTTGGATGAGGTTTTAGTCTTTCATGTGTTAATTAAGCAAGTAAAGAAACAAAAAATAACAGCGACGCGAGGCAAAGTATAACTTTCAAATATTTTTATATGTATTTTTTTTTTTACTTTTAGTCTTGAAAAGACAAACAATTCTCTACACAAGTATATTAAAGTGGCTATCCGTAATTTTTTCATCAGTGTTATAAACTTTTTTTTTCAGACTAAGTACCTATTTTTGTGTAAAATGTGTCAAAAAATGATTGTTTTTCCAATAAATAACCTATAAGGCGCGATAAATTTTGTAGCCATGTTAGCACGAATGTATTTTTTGCCCATGTGAATAGTTTATTATGAAATTCTCGGCTCCGAATATTGCATTTTTTAGTGTTCTGAATTGTTCAGTTAATTCCGTTTATCAGTTCGTACACCAAAGTACCTTACATGGAAAACAGTCCACGCGAGTGTTGCCAAGCTTAATTTGCTTATAACTGGAAGCGAAAATTTTTCCGGTGCAATAAAAATAAGGTAGACCAAATATAAGTCAATGTCTTATATATATCAGTAATAGATGTAGAAGTCACAAATTTCAAGGTGATACTATTTGGTTAAGGGTACATATCTTTGGAGTACCTTTCCACCTTGTAGAGATCATTAAAAGCTTCTAAGACATCTTTACCTGCTGTGTTGGTGAAGGTGACATCTTATTCAAAGTCCGCACTGGTGTCATACTGGGGTGTATCATGTCCACATTGCCTTTCAATTTTGTTGTGGACTGGATCATGCGACGCACCACTAAGGATCAGTTCAGGGGCATAAGATGGAAACCCTTCTCCTACTTGAAAGACCTGGATTTACGCCTTTGCAAAGCAAGTTGGCCTCAACATCAGCAGCAAGAAGATCGAAATTATGGCACTGAATACTATCAACACACGCCCAGTCCAGATTGATCATGAAGAACTTCCTTACACCGACATAT